TGACAGGTCTTGAAGCTCTATACATGTTTTGGATTTATGCCTGACAGGTCTACCATGGAAGATATACATTTTTTGAGAGGTTTGATGGAGAAGTTCAGAGATAATAAGGAAGATCTACATATAATTTTTATTGATTTAGAAAAAGCTTACAGATTTAGAAAAATTTATTGATTTAGAAAAAGCTTACAATAAGGTTCCAAGAGTTATCCTTTGGAGAATTTTTGAGAAGAAAGGCGTTGATATGATTTATTTTCAAGTCATTAAAGATATGTATACAAGAGGTGTTACTTGTGTTCGAACAGAAGGAAGATTGATCAAATATTTTCCTATTTCTGTTGGTTTATATCAAGGATCGGGCTTTCAACCCATATCTTTTTTCCTTAGGTATGGTTGGTCTTACCGAGGATCGGGCTTTCAGCCCATATCTTTTTTCCTTAGGTATGGTTGGTCTTACTAGGCACTTGCAGGAGGGTGTAACTTAGTGTATGCTTTTTGCTGATGATATCCTTCTCGTGGATAAGATGAGAGAAAAAGCTCAGGAAAATCCTGAATTATGGAGGTCTACCTTGGAGTCTAAAGGCCTTCGTTTGAGTAGAACTAAAACTGAATACATTATAAGTAATTTTAGTAGTATTAGCTCTAGTGACAAATATGTAACTATGGGTGATCAAATTATTAAAAGGTATGTATTAGCTCTAGTGACAGATATGTAACTATGGGTGATCAAATTATTAAAATATGTGAACGCTTTAGATATCTCGGGTCTATTGTTCAATGATACTATTGTTCAAAGTGATGGTGATATCTATGGGGATCTTATTAGTATAATTAAAGTTGGTTGGTTGAAGTGGAGGAATGCTTCGGGCCTATTATGTGCTAGAAAAGTACCGCTTAGCTTAGAAAGTACCGCTTAGACTGGAAGGAAAATTTTATTGATAGTGGTGAGATCTACAATTTCTCTATGGCGTTGAATGTTGCCCTTTAAATGAGAAGCATAAACTATGTTAAGTGTTGCTGAGATGAGAATGATTGGGTGGATTGTGGATGAGTGGCTTTAGACATAAAGACAAAATTCAAAATGAATATATTTGAGATAGGTTTGGTGTAGCTCCAGTGACAGGCAAAATTAGAGAGAGCCGTCTTAGATGGTTTGGTCACATTAAACGTCGACCATCTGATGATTTGATTAGAAGAGTAGATGTTTTAGATTCGACTTATCTTAAGAAAGGCAGAGGTAGACCTAGGAAGACTT